CCTAAAGGCTGGTTAAAGTCATTTGGTAAAGTTTAGGGTAGGTCTTCGTTGGAGCTACCATTCAGTTCCCACACAACTATTAATCCCCCATAGCATACTAACTCTATGATACCTGACCTCAGGAATTCTGCTATCAAGCAACCTTGTCTTGTCCACGGCAGTAAAGTCGCGGTAGACTCAACCTAGAAGGTGGATGTGAAAGTAGAATCGATACTTGAATCACAAGGGGTTCTAGGATAGGGCGATCTGAAAAAGTACCTAGATATGACCAATCAGGTCTGATAGAATCGTTGACCTTGCTAATTCAAAGTATGATAGCTACCAAGTAGTATGGGCTAGAACCGGCATTGCGGAAGGCCTCGAAAGCTCCTTTAGTGATCAACTTTAATAAGCCCACGATGTTCACGTTGGACGGGAAGATCCGAACATAGATGAACAGTTGATAAAGCTAAACAGATACTGGGCAGATAGGCCTACCGGATTTCCAGATTCACCAAGCCATCTAGGGAAGCGCTCGTAGCTCCTGTGCCCCTCCAGCTAACACGATAACAAAGAATATATGATTGTGGTGCCTTGTTGTGCAACTACTCGGGCTCGTTAGAAGAAGAAGTATTGGAAGAAAGGACAGCTGGTAAACGACAGGCTTGGTCAATACGAATACAGAGTGTGAATAATGAAGTTTGATTGGCAAGGTCGTATTCGATAAGGACCGTGCAATTCGACTTTTGCTCATGTCAGGATAGTTCAGAAGAAGGTGTCTAGATCGATCGAACTAATGAATCAAATGTTCTCAGTAAACTCAATTCCCAAGGCTTACTCGAGCAAATATCTTGGTTGCCGCCAGCTCCAAATGCTGCTCAGTTGTCGAGGCCATCAAAATCCTGATGATTTATCGGCTCGCCTGGATATCTGACAAGGATTTTGGACCCGACGGGACGCACGCTTTGTCTCGGTAGACGACCCTCTCCGATAGCTGTACCTGTTAGATTTCATTCGGGTAGTCGGGCCCTAAATTGGTCACTTTCTAGAATACGGGCCAATGCCGTGAGGTTCAACCTTGCCAAGGCCTCAAATGCCGTCTTCCATACCTAGGCGAAGTGAATCAGAATGAGAGAAAGGGGCTCGTCTACTGCCGGTACTCCGCAACTACAGCCATACATAGGTAGCAGTCCGTTGATCAGGAACTGGTCATGATATTAAACAACCTCCCAGCTTACGGAGTAGTGCCTGAGTTTTATGCACAAATCAGAGACCCATCCGATACGAGATGGGGACTTCTTGTTTACCCCTGGATTTGTGGGCTGCAGGTTCCTGGATATCTCAACCTCGAGAGACACAAAATCTTGAAACGCAGGAGCTAAAAAATCACAGAGAGTGTGTGCCAAGGTCGGAGCGAAATACTGGAATATTGAATTTTAGATGTTAGATGACATATTAGATAAAACCCAATGCATGTAGGTATCATGTGTCATGTGGGCACTATGTATGATGGACTTGAAATAATGTACACGTGCGGAGGTGATGATTAGCAGCCGGATTGCTGTGGACTGAAGATCATTGATGCTATGGGTAATCACTGTTTTGTTCCCATTTCATCGCATATGACGGGAAGCATTTCTACTCGGTAAACTGCCTGAGCTACCTGTGAAATGATCGAGTTCCGTGTGTTAATTTGCTATCGTTGAGATGAAAGTCATGTCCCCAATGCTATTGCTCAGGTGCAGACAACTTCAAGCGATCTTGATGATGTTTGTGCCTATTCTTGCTTTGGATTTGCTGCAGGAAATACCAAGAGGTGGGGAGCCCTTGTTTGACTCGAGCTACCTTATACTTGCACCTCATTGTCACAAACCTCTAGAACATTATCCTCAAACCAATCATCCCCTCATTTGAGGCCTAGAAGCTGTGTCGCGTGCAGATATGCAGTGCGCCACGGGGTTCCATGGATGTTATTGCCAAGAGACCTTTCAGGTCCACTCCGCACTTTGGTGCTGCTGGGTTAACAGTGTAAGAAGGACAACTTGTAGCCTGGGAATGGCAAGCGGATGGGAGGAGGCTTAGGAAAGTCGTCGTTATAGCCAGAAACCTACAGAGAAGCCAGTTCCTGAAGAGTTATGGTCATATACCCAAAGCTAGAGGTCGAATTTGCCGTTCAATGCAATCGACGTCAACAAGTCTCACTCTCGGAGTGTTCCAGTGATCACACATAACCCCCCAAGTGACTTCTGTACTACCTTAGACACGGCGCTACGGTCCCCTACCATGACGGCCCCGACTTTAACTTTTGCCCTATGAGGATTAGCCCCTCCGCCTTTTCTAATGCGCTACTGTACGAATGGAGTCCTGCGACCACCTAAGCCAGCAGACCTGGACCAACCCAACTCATTACCATTAGCCATCCTGGCCATCCTTTGCCATCACTAACTTATGAAAGCCCCATCACATCCCCTGCTCTAGTCGTTCTTTTGTCTCCATCATGACCGCTCTTCCTCCTCAACCTGATCCCATCTCCTCGCCATCTCACTCCTCACACTCACCCCCTTTGTCTTCGAAACACGTAGCAGCTCCAGATCGCCCCGAATCCCCCGAATGTCTTCTCATTGACGACTCTCTATCGGCCAAAGACTCGAGTCCCCTAAAATCGGTGGCAGGATCGTCCTCAGGAACAACAAGAGTTGCTACATCGCGGAACTCCGGTCTAAGTGGAGGAAATCAAACGATAGCTGGCCCGTCTCGTGAAACCGGCGCGAGGTCTTTCAACGGCGACGAGGAAAGCGAGAGCGATCGGGATATAGAAATGGAACCTATTGCAGGCCACCGTCGACGGCGAAGTAGCCACAACATGGCTGGTCGGCCAGCTGGATCACCCAGCCGAACCCGTGTCACAAGCCGTGGTCCCGCACCCACTGGCTCGACAGAAGAACCCAAGATATCAGAAGAAGATTTGGATGCGAACGGCTTTGCGATCCAGAAGGATGAATCCGCCGATGACAGCTTGAGCGATGAAGACCTCCAAGACGACGAAGAAACAGGATTGACCCGTAAAGACAAGCAGAGGCGGCAGAAGAAGCGTAGCAGAAATACCCAGCTGGATCAGCGGATCGTCAGGGACAATAAGGCTATATCAAAAGAGGAGCGCAAAGAAGCAGACAAGACCGTCTTCAAGAGCTTGATGGTAAACGCTGTGTTGATTCTTTTGTGGTACCTCTTTTCGTTATCAATATCGATTGTACGAAACGGCTCCTGTGCCCTATTCCCAGATAACATAATTGCTGACATGTTTACAGTACAACAAGTGGATGTTTGATCATGAACGGCTGAACTTTGCATTTCCTTTGTTTACGACGTCTATGCACATGGTGGTTCAATTTATCCTCTCAGGTCTAGTTTTGTACTTCGTGCCCTCATTGAGACCCGGACACGGGGTTCATCTGTCAGATATGGGCAGGTCGAGACATGATGACGAGCCCAAATCTTACGGCATGACCAAGATGTTTTACCTCACTCGAATTGGACCTTGTGGTGCAGCTACAGGCCTAGATATTGGACTTGGCAATACCTCTCTCAAGTTCATTAGCCTCACATTTTACAGTATGTTGTCTCTGCGTTTGAGCTCTTGAGGTAACTAACCTTTGCTTTAGCCATGTGTAAATCCTCCTCACTAGCTTTCGTTCTCATGTTTGCGTTTGCTTTCCGCCTGGAAACCCCAACATGGCGTCTTGTCGCCATCATTGCTACCATGACGCTCGGTGTCGTGCTCATGGTGTTTGGTGAAGTTGAATTCAAGGTGGGAGGCTTCGCCCTCGTCATCTCAGCTGCCTTCTTCTCTGGCTTTCGCTGGGGATTGACCCAGATCCTGCTCCTCCGCAACCCTGCAACATCAAACCCATTTTCTAGCATCTTCTTCCTTACTCCAGTCATGTTCCTCGTGCTTATCTGCCTTGCAGTGCCCGTCGAAGGAGTCGGAGCTCTCATTGAAGGCTACAAAGTTCTCGGTGATGAATGGGGTTATTTCATGGCGCCCCTTTTCTTGCTTTTCCCCGGTTGCATCGCCTTCTGCATGACGGCATCCGAATTCGCTCTGCTGCAGCGCACTTCCGTCGTCACACTTTCCATTGCTGGCATCTTCAAGGAGGTTGTTACTATTAGTGCGGCTGCTCTTGTCTTTGGTGACCGCCTCACACCCATCAACTTTGTTGGTCTACTCACGACCATGGCCGCTATCGCTGCCTACAACTACATCAAAATCACAAAGATGAGGCAGGAGGCGCAAGAAAGTGTTCATGTTCGGCATGCGCACGACGATGACGCGCCAGATTCCCCAACGAGTCAGACTAGCGGAATCATAGACCGCGATGGGGATACAGACGCGGAAAACACTGGTCTGCTCCGTGACAGCATCGACGGCTTGGATCTTGATGTACAATCCCATGCTCCAGCTAATGAGCGTCGCTGAGGGAACAATCGTTTCAATGCCACAACTTCCTGTTTTATATCTGAGCCTGTATATAACGACTCTATGGGCCACCTTTCTTTGTCATACTGAGTGAGAGTCGATACAATGACTCGCCATCTTTTGTTTGTATGTATCATAACAACGGCGCCGGGGGTTACTTTGGGGATAGAATCTAAGCTGGAACTTTCCTCGATACATTGTGATATTAGAAGAGCAAGAATATCAATATACCCAGATACCACACATAATCAACTTGCCCGTTTTTCTTACCAGATAATATGCACAAAACGTTGTATGGAATGGTACCTTTCTAGGTCAATACCTATGTTCAAGGCACAAGTGAAGAGTAAAATCAAAGCCTATGACTTTTCGAAGGATTTGGTCAACATGATACATGATCGAATTCATAACATTGCAATACAAACGAGCCCAGACACCCTGGTGGACCGGAAATTCTTCATGGAATTAGTACACTTAAACCGGGTATGTATGATACCTCTGCAAACACCAAACACCAAAACGCAACACTTGCTCAGTCGAACGCTTAGCCAAGCAGGCGAAGGCCATTCTTGGTCTTTTGTCCAGGCTTGACCACTCCACTACCACCCATGGGCCCTAAGCTGGGCTCATAGCCAGCCCCATGATTTCCACCGCCATTTCCACCCTTCTTATTCTTATTCTTCTTTCCATGTCTGTCCTTCTCCTTGACATTAGCTACCTTGATTTCGGTGTTGGCCTTGCGAACCGTTACAGGGTGGCTCTGAATGTATTTGTTGTTCATTTCTTTGGCGGCTTGGAAAAAGTCGTCAGCGTCGCTGAAACTGACAAAACCGTAGCCTTTGGACTTGGATGTACGCTTGTCACGAATGACTCGGGCCTTTTGTACAGATGGCCAGCGCGAGAAAGCCTTGAGAAGGGCGTCGTCAGTGGTCTCGCCTGCAAGATTACCGACAAAGAGTCGTAAATGGGAGGGATCCCATTCTAGAAGACTGTCGTCTGTCCACTTCTTACCACCACCTTCTCGGATGACTGTCTTCTTGCGCTCCTGGTTCGCAGTGGTAGCTGCCGCGGCCGCGGCCGCAGATGTCTGGCCATCTGTTCGAGGCCCAGCAAACCCAGGGGCTTTATCCTTGCCATCTGTTGGGGTGCTCGAATATGCGCTCTGCCATTGCGCTATCTGGGCGGCCATCTCGGGGTTGTAGTCGGTCCCCGCAGTGCCTGGAGTAGGGAATGGATTCGCAATCTGGGGTGCTGCCCCATAGCTTTGCGGTTCGTAGCTCTGAGGGCCATAGCTTTGGACGCCGTAGTTCTGGGCACTGTAATTCTGTGGCTGCTGAGGATACGAATATGCCGGACCCGAGTTCACCGCGCCGGGAGCAGTAGTCGGGTACGAAGAGTACGAAGGGCCATACTGAGTTGCGGATGGAGCATTGGGAGCAGAGTAACTCGAAGGGCCGGAGTACGTCGGCGGAGCGTTCGAGTACGCTGGCTTCGATGCAGCCTGGGCTGCTGGGGGGAACGCGGGTTTGAAGCCTGATTTGGAGGCGGGCGGTCTCGGTGGGAGAGAGTTGTTGCTGATGCCTGGAGGAGGAGGGTACGCCATGATGAATACAAGCGAATATACGAGGAAGCGGTGTAGTGTTTGCGAGAAAACGTACCTTGAGCCAAATTCTGCTCAAGTTCCTCTTAGAAGAGATTCCCAGCGTCCGCAGCTTTTATCGAAAGGGCTCGGCGGTGCTCTGCGGCGGTGCGACGCGATTGTGATTGCGATGACGATGGCAACTGTTGTTGTATGGAAGAAAATGGATCTCATGATAGCCTTCTTTGATTCGCTCTAGCCTCGTTCTCCAGAAAGCGGCCTAAATTAAGTGGGATTTGAACATCACGTGCGCTCTCCCAAAGCTCAGATGAATACCTACGTAGTTACCATCTCAAGCCATAGGTTCGGCTGATGGCTTGAAATTCAAATGCCAGGGCCTAGTGTTGCTTTTTGGAATCAATATATTATGAACACCTCGGATTCTCATTTGTCATTGGTCACGATGTCTGGCGTTGTTGCCTGTGTTAAGTAACTTGCACCCCCACGGGCTGGAGTGGGTGATGTGCGAGCGTTAGGTAGTCAGTTAGCCTCTTCGGATTATGAAATTCTATGGCATATAGATTCCTCGGCTCGGAAGCAGACGGACTTGACGGTGTCTCAAAAGCTCTTGTTTGGAGAGAAAGCTACTGACTAATCCGAAAGATTTCATGGCAATAACGGGCAAGTTGGAGAAATCTCAACAACATCGCGCATCCATTCTTTTCGCAACAACATTGGTTCTTGGGGGTTATTGTAAGCTTTGAACATTCAACGAATCCGTAGTTACGGTGGCTCTTTTCACCTTGGGGTGGGGGGTTAATGTTGTATATAGCGCATAGCAAGTTCTGGAACTTGATCAAAATGTGTATCCGCACCTATTATTCGAGAGGCTGGATGAATGTTCGGATACTTTAATCTCCATGTACATGGGATGGGCAAAAATGGACGACTTGATCCGTTCTCAAGATAATTTCGGCGGCAGAATTTGACGGCTAATATGGACCGAAGCAAGCGGAACTTGATTATTACCTTTTATCCCGATATCAAATGTTACTTGCATCTCCGATGGGGGTTTCAACTTTCAAGTCTCTATGAGCCGAGTCAATCAGAAATCGGTGTTACCAAGCATGGTTCAACGGTATCGTCTTGTCGTTTTTATCCGGCTGCCGAAGCAGGCTGAGGCATCCTGAAGCCAGTATTGCTGGGCCAGTCTGAGGCTTAAATCCTCTGTCTCATGATCTCCTTGGCTGTTTCGTCATGAGCGACTTCGGACACTGGTGAGGCTAAAAGTTGATTCGGCGCTTATACCGCACTGTTGCCGGGGTAAATTCCGGTGGAGCATTTCGGTCAGGCTGGACTCATGAACTGGGCTGAGAGTGCACCTGGGTTGGTCGAGAGTACACCTGGACTGAGCTCAGCGTTTGCGGCCTTTTTCTTTGGGATTCTCCGTATCCGCCTTCGGGGCATTCGGTACGGATTCGCGAAGGCTAAGGCGACGTTGGGGTCGGGCTACTGTCCGATGAACAAGTCAATTGGCACGGTAGTGATTACACGGGCCCGGAAGACGTGGGTCCCAACACTCGGACAGCATTGCAGGATCGCATAGAAAGGCTGGACTTGGAGGTTATCCAACAAGCATAAGCTTGACGGACGAACTGAGACCAGGAGATGTCGATACCGCGCACGGGACATGTCTAGGACTAAGGGCTTGACTATGGATGTTAGTGAGGCGAGGCGGATACAACGGAAAACAATCCATCCAGACTAATATGCGGCGAGCTTTGTACGAGATTTGTGTTGCTTGTGTCACGGTTTCAAAAATCTTGGTAAGCTTTGGGGTTCATCTTGGGGGTAAGACCGCAGCAGCACCGTAAAGTCGTCATAACGTTGGAGCTGAGGGGCGTAGAAGGGGGGACCTGGAGGGGTAACGCTGCGAGGCGCTACAGTCCGCTAAATAAATGTGAGGGAAAATCCCATCTCTGGAACTTGGTGTCCGTAAACGACGGACCCCTACTGATGGTCATTGGCCAGCCAGCAGGTACAAGTCCATGCTGTTGGCCAGGGAGGAGTGGAGGGGCATTACCTCAGTCATGATGATGATGATGGCTGCTGAGGAATTGATGCAAAGTTAGTTTGTATTGGTAAATGTAAGTTCTTGCAAGGCTGGCGTAGCGAATGAGTAGATTGCCTTAGCAACGATGATTAAGGCAGGATGAGTGGGAGATCAGCTAGATACCGCAATTACTCATAGTCACCGAGCTGTAGTCAAAGAGGTGATGTAAATGGAAGAAAAGCACCTATCATCTCAGTATCAATCTCGGCCGCACCACAGTGACGATGACGATGAACAGTTGAGAAGAGCCCCGCCAATCAACGCGGAAGCTCCACCATACTTGGCGTTATGCCCGACCAGGTCAATTGTATTGGATTGAGCCTTTTGAAGCGCATTGCGTCGCGTTTGCTTAGTTGAGCCAAATGCAAAGCGGTAGAGAGGGAAGAAAAAAAAAAGGTGGGCATCTTTCCAGCTCAGACAGGAGGTGGACTGGGAGGTGAGTGCGGACAAGGTACCGAGCGCCCAACTTTGGCACGGGTGTGACAACATTCATCGCCAGGTATATTTCTTACAACTTTGCATCTCCTCCCACCTTCTTCCCTTCCTCTTCTTTCTCTCCTTCATACATCTTCAAAAACCTCATTCTATACATACCACTCCCCGATCGCATATCATAGCCCATCATGTCTGGCCCTGTGTAAGTTGAAGCTTCCCTCATACCTCATCTCTTAATTTTACCCCACCACCCCGCCACGGCCTCATGGTGATGCTCTCATGCTCTCATCCCCGCGCCCTCCGGACGCTGGAGCGAGAAATGAAGTAATCGCCGTGCTGAATCCGTGCCTGGACTGTTTGGCGAATTCGCAGACCTCATCCTCATCGTGATCATGGCTCATGTTCTCGAGGTAGAGCTCGTCTCGCTCACCTCAACCTGGGTGCCCCTCAACAACACAATTCCTTCACCTCACTCTCAAGCTCTGCTACGAAACAAAATGCGACAAATGCTGACATTGTGGCAAGTGCGGATCTGGGCCTCATCGGCCTTGCTGTCATGTAAGTTTGACCCAAGAACCATCCAACTGGCAATGCCAGTGGCAGCACATACTCACATGCTTCGCAGGGGACAGAACCTTATTCTGAACATGGCTGACAACGGCTTCACCATCTGCGCCTTCAACCGAACCGTCTCCAAGGTCGACCGATTCCTGGAAAACGAGGCTAAGGGCAAGTCCGTTGTCGGCGCCAAGACTGTTGAGGAGTTTGTCAGCAAGCTCAAGTCTCCTCGCCGTGTCATGCTCTTGGTCCAGGCTGGTCAGGCTGTCGACGACTGGATTGAGAAGATTCTACCCCTCCTTGACGCCGGCGATATCATCATCGACGGTGGTAACTCTCACTTCCCCGACTCCAACCGCCGTACCAAGTATCTTGCTGGCAAGAACATCCGCTTCGTCGGCTCTGGTGTCTCTGGTGGTGAGGAGGGTGCCCGATATGGCCCCTCTCTCATGCCCGGTGGTAATGAAGAGGCCTGGCCTCACATCAAGGACATCTTCCAGAGCATTGCCGCCAAGAGCGACGGTGAGGCTTGCTGTGAGTGGGTTGGCGACGAGGGTGCTGGTCACTACGTCAAGATGGTTCATAACGGTATTGAGTACGGTGATATGCAACTTATCTGCGAGGTATGAAGAGATAGAGACAGGAACCACGCACAAAAGACTAACAAAGCATTACTAGGCTTACGACATCATGAAGCGCGGTCTCGGCCTCTCCAGCAAGGAGATCGGCGATGTCTTCGCCAAGTGGAACAAGGGTGTTCTGGACTCTTTCCTGATTGAGATCACCCGAGATATCATGTACTTCAACGACGATGATGGCACTGCCCTCGTTGAGAAGATTCTCGACAAGGCCGGTCAGAAGGGTACCGGTAAGTGGACCGCTGTCAACGCTCTTGACCTTGGCCAGCCCGTGACCCTCATCGCCGAGGCTGTCCTTGCCCGATGCCTGTCTGCCATCAAGGACGAGCGTGCCACCGCTTCCACCAAGCTTGAGTTCGTCAGCCGAACAACCAAGTTCGAGGGCGACAAGGAGCAATTCCTTGAGGATCTCGAGCAGGCCCTGTACGCCTCCAAGATCATCTCTTACGCTCAGGGCTTCATGCTCATGCAGGAAGCTGCTCGTGAGTTCAACTGGAAGCTCAACAAGCCTTCCATTGCCCTCATGTGGCGAGGTGGTTGCATTATCCGATCTGTCTTCCTCAAGGACATCACTCACGCCTACCGCTCCCAACCTGACCTCCAGAACCTTCTGTTTGATGACTTCTTCAACAAGGCCATCCACAAGGCTCAGCCCGGCTGGCGAGACGTTGTTTCCAAGGCTGCCCTCCTTGGTATCCCCACCCCCGCCTTCTCTACCGCTTTGTCCTGGTTCGACGGTTACCGCACCAAGGACCTTCCCGCCAACCTTCTCCAGGCTCAGCGTGACTACTTCGGTGCTCACACCTTCCGCATCAAGCCCGAGAACGCTAGCGACAAGTACCCCAATGGCCAGGACATTCACGTCAACTGGACCGGCCGTGGCGGTAACGTCTCTGCTTCTACTTACCAGGCTTAAGTTGCTTGTCGGGGTAAAGAGATGGAATTTCGATTGGTTAAAGAATGAATACCACCGGGCTGTACGAAGCTCGATCGCTGCGTTTTTATAAAAATCTGTGCTTTGGTACACAGAACACGGTAACGCTGCAAGGATAATGATGAATGGGTTGGTACGGATTTAGAAAGCTTAAGTGATGGAAAATCGGGTTTGCGTTTAGAACCTGATGAGAAGTATGAAAACAAAATCAAATAATATTTTCCCAATGAAAGATATAAATCGGTGATAAGTGACAGTTACTGAGCGTGATAACCGTGGTAGGACTCCATTTATCGTTCGTGCGACAAAATAAAGCGAAGTTGGTCCACTTACGAATGATTTACTTATATGAGAATCCATCCGCACTGCTCAAACTTTTCAAGATCATTCTTCCTCTAACATAATATCATAAGATCTACCTATCGAAGATCAAGTTATATAAATCACCACAACTTACATCAGACCTCGTTCTTTTCCTACCTACCTATGGTCCATGGAAGACAAGAGCTCAAGACCCGCTTTTAATCACCCGGCTCTCCAGCTCTGATTGGCCATTCTGCACGTTTGCAGCCTCGTCGCGAGAAGTTTGGAGCCGCGCAAGGGCATTGACTTCTAACAACTCCATCGCAAGTTATATCGTGAATTGCGCCACGCCATCCCTTCACCTTCTCAGAGTCAGTCCATCTTGGCTTTTTTCAGCACGCTGAATGACTAGCAACGCACATACCTGGACATCATCAATCGCGTAATTAGATATACCAACACGCCTAATATCGTCCAGCGCGACGCTCGCCCACTATGGCTCAACCGGATCCTAGCCAGGGCGTCCCTCAGGACCTTGTATGTAATGCATACGCGCAAAGATGCAATCGCATCGCAACATCCTTCTGACAGTCCTTTAGATGCCCCACGTTCATCTGATCTCTTCATTCCGATACCCTGTGATGCCTCGACTTGACCTAAATGAGGTTGCTAAATGGCTTATGGCCGCACCGCAAGTCGCGAGAGACCGGGCGCCCTTTTTCTGGACATATCTCGACAAGCCTACCGATGGCACGATACTTTTGACCTGGCAGCCCCTTCAGCGCTTGGGAACGACCTTCGCAACCGATGGTTATGTCTGGGCGCCTCCAGAACAGGTTTACAAGCATGATCTGGGCAATGGACTGGTAAGGACAAGATGAGACTTGCACAAAGGGACAGCCTGCTGAACCTCACTAGATGCTTGAGATTTACTATCAGAAAGCTGGTTACATTCCCGGCGAGCAGTACGCTCTCCACGCCCGTCGACGATGCCGACTAGTCCCTATCCCTGGTCATCCTAATCCTCCCCAACCAGACGTCGGCCTCTTCGTTGTGCATTACGGCCCCGCCGAACCGAATGACAGAGTTCCTGTCTCCATGATTCCCTTTGACGAAAGAGTCAACAGCATCATGCAGCAGCGCCACTTTTTGCAGCGCGCTGGCCAGATTCGTCGCAAGGAATTCATGTTATCCGACCGAGTCAACTGGCCTACCCTGCCTGATCTCACCCGTCAGCCGGTACCTCCCCAGATGGCCCCTCGAGGCGTTCCTCAACAGATGGCATATCCCACACAACCCGCACCGGGCCCTCCTGCTAAACGAGCGAGGCACGCCGCGGGCCAGAGTGGCCAGCCCCCACTACCAGGAATGCCTCAGCTAGACGCTGCCTTCGACGATGAAGAGGATGTTTCGCGAGGAGATATGTTTGACCATCTCACCCCAAGAGAGATTTCTATGAGCCGATACCAGCAGAACCACGAGTGGATGGAAGAGATCCTCTCGTCTCCTTATAGAATAAGCCAGATCACCCCTGCCGATTTGAACCTCGGTTTCAAGGGCGAATTGGCATATTTGACCGAGGGCATCTTTCCCGCACAAGGAGTTGATGCCTCCAATTCCGTCCCTGAGAAGCCGTATATCGGGCGGCTGGATCCCGAAAAGGCCGATGAATTTCGCAAGCGAGTCCACAATCACATTGAGTCAACCAAGGCCGAGATAGAGAAGATGCAGGCCGACCATGCCGCAGCTCTTGCAAAGTTCAAGGAAAATTCCATCCTCAGCACAAAGGAGAAGGAGCTTCGAAACACTGTCGAGGGTACAGGCACTGAGATTTGGCGAATTGAGGGCAAGGTTGACCCCCACGATGAGGATGCTGTTCCTCGTCCCGTCAGTGCGAAAACAGTGGAACAGATAGTGACTGAAGTGGAAGTTGCTACGGGAAAGAAGGTTGATACCAAGCCGACGGTATCTCGTGTTCAAGACGGAGGTTATCAGCCACCAGCACCAGAACCCGTTCAGGCTGACGCTTCGCAACTATCTCGTCAGCCGTCGCAATCTGGTTCGCAGAACAGCGGCATCATGATTGGCGAATCTGACATCGATATGGGTGGCACTGCTGCTGGATTACTCGATCAGATGCATACTGGCATTTCCAACACCTCTACACCTCTGAACAACTTTGGAACTCCTCAACCTCAATTGTCAGCGGCTCAGTCTGGGGCCGGAACACCTTCCAATACCACCGCAGTTGGTTCTGGCGGTGACGTGACGATGGGCGGAACTCAGGGACCAAAGGATCACACAACAGCGCCTGATCAAGGAACTGGCAGTGGAGATTGGGTTGTTGTGCCCAAAGATGGCACTGCGAACGATCAAGCGAATCAGGGCCCTGGCTCGGGTGCCGCTTCTGTCAACGCAAACACACCCACTACTGCAGGAATCGATACTGCCAAGTCTATGGCTAAGACTGCGTCTGCTGGTGCCACCCCAGCAGCTGGGACACCCGGCGGCTCTGTCTCCTTTGACCAAAACGACTTCAGCTCCCTTGGTGACCTTGACACAGCAGGTGATGCCCTTAACTTTGACGGCCCTACGTTAGACGGTGCAGCTGGCGAGCTGGGCGAGGGTCTAGATCTCAGCATGGACATGGACGACTCAGCATTTGGAGACGCTTTCCACGGTGTCGAAGCCTCTGGAACTCCCCAGGGTCAGGATATGTAGAACGCATCCCTGTATGGTGAGCCGGAGGAGGATGAATTCTATTGAAAAGGGGGAAATATTTTTTTACTGAAAGACCGGAATTGGTTCTCAAGACGTCGGAGAATGGCGCGTCTTTGTTATCATGGGGAGTTTTCTTTCTCTTCGGCAATGGGGGGCTATAGGACTTGCTTTTTGTTCAGTTTTTAGGTATTGTCTCGGGTCATCAAGGCCCGATGTAGGACATTGATTTATGCCTATGGAATAGGAAAGTTGCTTGTAGACTAGAGGCAAGTAAATCTACAGATGAATAATTAATATGGTCTGTCATATATATATGTGCTTGAATTTAACATTATTTGGCCTTGTGCTGGCCGGAACCCTTGCAGCCGTAGCAAATGAGCATATGAATGAAGTATACTACCCATGGAAGCTAAAAACTTATGTCTATGGTAACAATGCTGCCAAACTCACGACAATATCCTATCAAGTGACTCAAGTCTGGGTAAGACCTTCAAGACTACGTACCTCAACTCAAACATAAAAGCTCATCGCCGTTCATGACTTGTTGACACGCTGCTCTGCTATCTTAACTATCTCATTATTGCTTGAGCTGTAGGTCAGGATAAAATATCCGCCATGATGGAAACATAAACTAATGACAATCATAGGGTCGGAAGGAAATTGCTCTTGGCTTTTGTGAGCAGATTGGTTCAAGTGAACAAATGAATGTAATATCATGTAAGGTAAAGAGGGCTTTTCTATATTCTATACAGTGACAAGTTCCCAATCACATCATCTCAAAAACAGACCACAAATGGAATATTGCAAAGATTCTACACATCCAACACCTATCCGAACAAAGTCCAGCACAAAGGGAAAGTAGCCAGCGCAGTTCGCAAAATCAAGACGGCATTCCAGCTCGTATGTTGGCGTATGCACTGGTAGGGTATTTCAAAAGATTGTTGACCGTCTCCAGGGTGCCCAATGTGCGCTTTACACCAGAAACGATGCTCTGAGATCCAACCTTATCTCCACTCGCCTCCCAAAAGAAAGCACCACCAAGGTTTCGCTGGTTGATATAAGCGGCTTTGGCCTGACCAGATTTGAGATCATCGTAAGTAATAAGCTCCCGCGTCTTGCTGTCATATGAATAGCTGGCTACGAGGTCTGCATTGTAGGTAGCTTTGGCACCAGAACGTGGCAAATCCTTGTATAGGTAAGTTCCCTCAGAGTTGCCGCCAACACCTGAGTAGGATTTGCCAAGTCCAGAGGTCTTCAGGAATGATCTCCCGTAAAGGGGCATACCCATGAGAATCTTGTTTGGGGGAACTCCCGCCGCGAGGTAATCGTTAATTGTCTTGTCAGTGCCAAGTTTTGTTGAAAGAGGGTTCTTCTTGGAAACGAAAACGTTGGCCTGATGACCGGTGGTAGTATCCCAGGAGCCAGCATAGTCGTACGCCATGAGGTGCCAGGCGTCAATCCATGGGTTCATTCCTTTCAAATCCATGACTTTATAGTTTGCCGGACCGGCTGATGTAGCAACAGTAAGCATAAAATGGTAGTTCAGTTTGTTGTTCTTTGAGAACTGGTCGAGGGCTTTTCTGAGGCCTGAGAGTATCAAGACATAGTTGCGAGCTTCTTGGGCATTGGCAGGGTATTCCCAATCGACATCAATTCCGTCGAAGCCCCAGTCAGTAATTAGTTTTATGGCGGAAGAGATGAACTTCTTGCGACGGTCCTGTGTGCTCACACCAGCGGCGAGATCTGGACTGTTATTCCAGCCGCCGATTGAAAGAAGCACCTGTTCATACGTCTTAGCAATCTCACATTAGGCTGCTTGGTCGCGGTAGTAGAATCACCTTTAAATTTCGGTTCTTCTTCTTAAGAATGTAAAGCTGTTTAACACATCCATAAACGTTCTTTCCACCATTATCAGAGTCACCATTATAGAGTCTTTCGGTGTCAGCGTAAGAGTCTGATGAAAACCTAACGCTTTGTTAATAAGTACGATATATTGATGGGGCTGATATGCTTACACAGTTCCGTCTCTAGGGTTAACCTTAGCAAAGGAGTATAGAACATGTGTGATCTGCTTCACCGGCAGATTTTGGGGCTGGAAGTTCGCCCCATAGGTACCCCTGGTTCTTCATTATTAACACCCATTAATTGCACAGAAACATGCCACAACTCACCAGTTTGTGAAGTAGAGGATGTTCCGCTTTCCAACACCCCGAGTCTCTAGGCGAGTAGGTGCGTTGTTGGCGTCATCCTCATCATCAAAGTCACCACCAAAGTAGTTCTTTGCGCTGCTATCATCCTGGGCATCAGCAGACTCGGGGTTCTGACTTGCCTGCTCAGATGTGTTTCCGGCAGGAGTATTCTCAGATTCATCAGAACCTTCCTCGTCTTCTTCGGGGCCGCCCAGGTTGGGGAAATCCTCAGGGTTGTAGTCGTCCTCATCCTCCTCATCGAAGAATTCGTTATCTGCACCTCCCTCATCACGCTTGAGGAGCTCAGGTGCCGGAACGACTTCATCATCACCACTGGCAGCTCGCTGGTCAGAATCAGGAATGGCAGTTTCTTGCGAAATGTCCTGGTCATCACTCTCCGTAGAACGAGTGTTGTGCTTAGACTGTGCCCAGGGGTTTCGCGGAGGAATAAACTGGGGAACTGTATCCCGAGGAGTGGCAGCTTGACTCTGTTGAGGCTTGCGAGATCCTCGGAAAGGCGCCCTAGGCGGGATGAAAGTTGGCTGTTTGTCATTACTGTCGTCTTCTTCATCCTGAACCTTGACAACCGTCTTCTTCTTCACAGATGCAACCGAAGCGGACTTGTCGGAGCTGTCCTGGTCCTTAGTTGACTTTTGCCAAGATGCTTTTGCTACGAAAGGCATCTTAGGTGGGATGAACTCAGGGACGATAGTCTCTTTAGGATTGTTCGAATCAGCGGCGGTAGTGGTGGTCTTGCGGATTTTGGTGTTAGGGTCAAGTGCGTAAGGCATCTTGGGAGGAATTAACTGCGGTGCGGCGGTCTGTTCTGTTTCACGACGGACAGACGTGGTCATCTTGGTCTTGGTCCCATGTGTATGTTCGATGTGTCCATGAAGATGTTGGTGTCTGGGCTCCACTGCAGGCACAGCAAGTGCTGGCACCAGAAGCGGCGCAATGAGGATGAGTTGCTTGAGCATATCTGATACGCAGCAATTGATCTCAAGGTGAGAGAGAGCCTGCGAAATGAATGGCCTCTGACTTGAAGAAGCCTGGACAATGAATGGATGATATGTGCTAGTCAAGTTTAATTGGCGAGTATAAGTGCTTCTTATAAAAACAAGCTGTTTGTAAAAGAGTGAGACCTCGTGATGTGTGAGGTAGTACTCAGATAGTCCAAGGGGTCCAACTATCTTGAGAGGGAGTTGAAGCTGAGACAAGATGCTGAAGCCGGGCTGGTTATGAGACAAGGACTGGGGTGACGGAACCGGAGAGTAGTCTATGAAGCACTATACTTTAAAGAATGAGATGAAGTCAAGGAACGAATGACGTGGGTTGAGTAGTGATGAAAAAGGAATGGCTTAAGGGTGAGATCAACTGGGAGGGAAGGGGGGCCAAGGACTTCAGGCGAGGGAATCGGGGCAAATTTATCACATTGGACATGATGATAAGACGCCACTCGATCAATAGAGGCATGAGGGAGGTAGGCGACCTTGAAGGAGTATAGCATCACGACGAAAGCGTAGCTTGGCCGCGTGTTGGCCTAAAGAAGCCTCCAAGGATGCTACGGAAAGCAACGCTGGGCACCAGTCGAGACGATGCTGTTCTCGACTGGGAATGCCCTGACGCCGGATGAGACCCGACAAGCAGATCATTCGAGCTTATCGAGCGCCACAAGCCCCTAAAACGTGGACCTGGTATGTCTTGGGACCTTGATTAGGAATGAGCTTAGTGTCTGGAATCAGTGGTTCAAGGCGCTAGGGGAAATGGTCGGAGGTTAAGACATGGTGGTGGCTGTCAATCTTTGTAAGTTGGCATCTTTTGCTATTGAAAAGGCGGCATAATGAAGCCGGGTAGAGTTTGGGGGGCCTGAGAAAGAGGCTGTCTAGGCTGTGGGCGTGAAGCTCATGATGTGGTTGTGAGTGGGTCATGATGATGAAGGGTCAAGGGTAGAGTTTCCCTAGGAACCGAATGGCGTCGGGATCTGATAGCTGTTCCTGCGTAAGCCTCCTCCGTTTGATCGATGTATGTATGTACCTTCCTTTCTGTTCCTGGTGCGTTCTGGTCCCTCCCTTCCTAATGAAGCACAAGTGATTGTTTGAAAGTGGGTGTATCTGAGGAGCCCTTGATTGCCTTGCAGGATTTGAATATTGTATATATATCACTAACTAAAGGAGAAACATCAATTAAGAGCTCCTTCAATCATTCAAAACAACCCTTTCTTGCACATATCGTATGGACCTGCAACGACAAGACGCCGCTCCCGGTAATGTCTCGTCCTACCCTTGCGCTCCCGCATTTGAAGGGAGCAAAGACCCCTCCAATAATCTCACAACTGCAACTCCTCAATATTGTCTTCACTCCAAAACAAGAAAAATTAAGACAAAATAAACTGCCCCAGTATCAAGGGTCTAGATCATGATCCAGAAGATGAACGTTAGCAAAGGCGTCGCCGACATTCATTCTGGACTCATGAATAACGGATAAATCGGTTCAACGTGTGCTCTCTAGATCAGCCTGCACAACGTCCAAGCTTTGGTGATTTGAAATAAACAGTTTTCCCCCTTCGTTGTTCCTGATTCATACTCTTTACGGCAGAGAGCTCGTGACTAAATTTCGTGATTGTAGATGGCTGACCCTAAGACTAAACTAGTGAAGCCATCGCCATATCCTCGCATGGCGTTCCAATTTACGGTTTTCATTCCAGTCATTGACAAACTTGATTCGTAAGCTCTCGGTGGCCCCGTTTGCATCGAAAATTCTGCAGTTTATCTGTGATCTGAGACATGGTTATATTCTCCAGATCCTCGACATCTCGTTAGGACATTGCTTTGACCAATCCCTTGTCAACTAGGGGCATCAAACGCAACTCGTTCACTATAACATAGGCCTATAATCCATAAACCCGGCACGGCGCGGCACGAGATAACCTGAACTGACGTCTTGTAGCCTAGCTTAGTTATGGATCGCCACACAGACAAATGTATTGACAGAAGATGACGACTTCCTAGACCTGCGACCTCTAGCACGTAGAGCTAGGATGTAGCCAACCATTATTGAATCCTATGCTTTTCTATGAATGGACCCTTCATCGTGGCTTACTTGATATCTGAAACTTTACACCAGTGGTTAGACTTGGAAGATTATGATTTATACATTATCATGTTCCTGGATATATGGGCTAACCTACACCGCAAGTTGTCTTTCGAAAACAATAATTATGATATTCTTTGCCTAATTACTATCAAATACTATATGAAAAATAGCTAGAACATACACAACATCTCTCAAACTTAACATACTCAACATTAACAACCGTACTCATAGAGGCCCGAAGGTGATTCCCTCTTTGTCTGTATCTAAACCGTGACGTTGGTCCCTCTCTGATGAAGACTCCATTTCCTCGTCTCCAAAATCTGTCTCTGCCTCACATTAGTAGCCCCAATAAATCCCCCATCATCCCCCTCCTTCGTCCCAGAATGAATAGTCTCCAGTTCAGCCAAGTCATCTCCTGGCCGTGGCTTCTCATCACGCCTCGCGGAAAGGTAGAAGAAATCCCAAATGAAACTTCGTTCTAGCTTACGCGGCTTTCCATCAGCGGTCCAGAAACGCTCCTCGCTAAGTTCTTGCGAAAGATGACGTCTGAAATATCGATCTTGAGTAACCCACCAAGCTCGCCAGACGAACAAGATCAGAAGAGTGAGTGGGATTGCGGCCGCCCAATAGTACCAAAAATGCGCCCCAAAGCGGTTCACCTTGATTTGGTCTGTCATAGGTCTCGAGGAATTGTCGTCTTCTTCATCTGGGCCGAGCCAGTCAAACATGGACATGCCGAAGAGAGTTCCAAGAAATTCGCCGGGTAGAAAGATGGCGGTTATCACGGCGAGAGCTTTCATCGAGGAGCTGTCGCGCGATGATGCTACAGCCATTCGGGCGTTCAGGATATTGTCTTCTTGGGCCATCTTACTGTAGATCTACTGCTTTTAGTTGGTGTTCAATGTTCGACTTTGTACCACTCACCATATCGATCTGAGCACGGCATCTGGCCTCGGACATGCGTCTATCCGTCTCTAGACCCATGCAAAGACGCAACAAACCATCAAGATACTGCCTGATCTCATGCCAATGGGGCCCCAAAGAATCGCCATCCGTCACTTCATCAGGAAATCGAAGCCTGGGGAGATCTCTGGGGGCCAGAACCGGACTCACTGCGGGAGGTCCTCCTAGAGGATCGATTACCGTGGGACTCAACATACTGAGATCGTTGCCGAAGTTAGAATAATTTCCCATTCGTTCATTCAACTCGTCTCCTGCCAAGATCAAAACTTTGATGGCTCTCTCCATCCAACGAATAGTATCCAGCAGTTTAATGGTGTCCTTGAGAACTTCGTGTGCCCTTTTCATGAGTTTGGTCATGGTGCTTGGGCCCCAAGCAATTCTCTCGCCACCTTTTCCATTGCTGAATGTGCGACTGAGACGCCTCCCGGTCTCTGTGGCATCGAAGCCGGCAATGTTGCTGACATCGTATTCCAAATGAGCCACGTTGGAGTTGTTCTCGATAACAGCCTCTTCGCATCGCATAAATTGCACTTGGAGAAGCACGACGGGCATGATGAGAGGGTGCGCCCAATGATCTCTGCATGACTCCAGACGATGATCATATTCGTCGAGGTCATCGAGGTTGTGTCGTCTTGGCTCCCATGACTGTCGGACAAGGATGGTCGCGGAGCGTTCACGGACATCGTATGTCATGGACAGAAAGTCACAAGGCGTCTTTGGCATCTCTGAGAATGCGAGAATAATACCTGAATTGTTAGATAAACCTATACGTGGCGTTGAAGGAACTTACTCAGCTGGGATTTGTCTTTTGACCAAAATCTAGATTCTGTGGTGGTTCGAGTTGAGTATTGCAGCGTGGCAGGATGAAGGTTCATGGCAGCCAGGTCATCAACCGTCATGCTGAGAATGTCTCGACCACCGTCGTAAATAGTTTTACGCTTGAAACAGATTCTATATTCAGTTAGCCAAGAGATACTGTGTATCAACTGTTTGAACTTACACCCGGCGTATTCGGCCTTCCATTCCGGCCGATGGGGCTTCATCATCGTCTGGTTTTCGAAAACTGCCCTTCAGACAATTAGTTCACCGCTCTCTGTTCAACGGACTGTACTGACTTCACGATCGAGCATATGCCCGCGCCGAAAGGCTAGGTCAAAGAGAGCTGTTCCCGAAGCATCATCGCGAGTAAAGTGGTGGGTGATGTGGTCGTCATCATCCACCCATGGATCCCGCTTGGTGGTTGGTGCTCCAGGCTCCTCTGACCGCTTGTAGACAACATACTCGTCATATTCAATGTTAGACGGAGTATCTTTTGCAGTGATCAAAACTTGGTTAGAGCAGGTTTTCTGGTCGTAGTTGAACAGGTCTAGGCCGTGGTGTACCAGCCCCATTAAGGCGGTTTTGCGCCTCCTCCGGAGACCGACAGCGTGATCTTGCGGAACTTGAGAAGAACGGCCACCCTAATGAATGGGGTGGAGAACTCTGGATTCATGAGAATCTGAAATCGTTGAGATTGAGTTGATAGTGTTGGTGGGGAGGTACTGAATGCACTCCTTAAGCGAGAAGAATATAACTAGCTGGTCTTTGACCCCGAAGTATGCAATGCACGCAATACTACTGAGCGTCCAGCGGCGGGTCAAGCTTGTTTATGAATTGTCGAAATGTCCTGGACGCTGACTGCCAAGACATCGCTCTTCAGCCCCCAAACAAGGGTGCCTTGCTCGTTGAGAGCCCAACTCTCCATGGAGGGTTTCGGGCAACGCATACCGCCGTCATGGGACCACTTCGAGGGCTGAGATAGATCCCTCAGCCTCGCTGCGTATTTCCGTTTAAGTAGGAAACGGTTGACAGGCCCATTAACCGGCTTCGGATCGGCGAATAAGACTGCGGTTGAGTCTCCGGGACGGACCCGCACGGAGCGGATCGGAGGTGGCTTAGATCCGGGGGCAGGTGACAAAGCCGGATTGGTTCCTCTTCTGAGAGCCCGATATTAGCGAGCTGCCATTCTGGGTTTATCTCGGGCGTAAAGACTGAGGCGCAGGTTCGGATAGAGTGACATGCATCCAACATCACGGGACTCATTCTTCGCACTCATAGCCAATTACGGTAAGAAATCTTTCAGTCTTGCTGCCCAACATATCAGATGTTGTTCTGTACGATCTCTGATCTTGGTCGATATCAGCAATGACAGCCGTACAAAGCAATTATTGGATAGGCCGGTTGATAAACAGAATGTCAGCACTCCAACAAGATGGTAAGAGGTAGAGTTACAAGGATATAGACTACAAGAACGCTGGCAATCATAGTCGTCTCGGTTGTCACATTCCGAGTTTTACGTATAGAAAGTCATGAGTGAGTGGGTGCAGATAATCGGGGGTTTATTATAGTCGTATATCTGAGAAGTTAAGGGGAGTCAGACACGTCGCAGGCTTTCAATTAAGTATTAATGGGCTTCTCCATACATTCCGACAGTTGATGATTCAGCTTCACTGTTTTATACACTTCTCAGGTGTTAGTGACTTGTGAACTGCCTTGACTACTTCCATCACTTGAAGAGTCGTCCTCAAATTCGCTTTCCTCGGTAATACTCCCAAGTCCCGTCCCAAAACTCCAGGAGTTTGTTTCATTACTATCCCTGTTTTCATCCTTCTTTTCCACTTTCTTCCTGTTGTCGATCCTGTTTTCTTCCGTATTTCTTTCTCTGATTTTCCTCTCTTCTATCCTCTTCAGCTTTTGCTTAACATCGTCAATGCTCTTCTTTGCCCTGTCGAGTTTGCCATCCAGGGTGATACATTTGTTGCAATTTGTCTGTATCCTCCGCGAAGTCGGTACATGAGGCTTCTTGATGACACAGTCATGGTTTAACTTTCCATCACGGAAGTCTTTGGCTGTTTGGCATCGCTTCACGCAGATGCCCCAGCGCTCGTGGGCGCATTTAAAAACGACTCGACCGTAGACGCACATACTAATGATCTTTTTGTAGAGTTTGGAGGTTGTGGTGAGGGATTCCTGATCTAGGAGAGGAAATCTAACAAAAATCGAGCATTTTATCGCTTTTATATCTGTCTCGGAAGAGTGAATTGTTCTCATGTTCATCAGAGCTTTGTTTGTTGATTCATTGTGACAAGTGACATGCATGAACAAGTAATTCCAGAACAAAACAACACATCATGTGTGGTGGCGGACCAGCTTCACTTAAGTTCCTTTTAAAGCATTCAGTGATCGCATCCGATGTGAATATTACATGGACTAGGAAACGCAAATATATTAAAAGGTACTTAATTCGGCAAGCGTCCGTGGGCTCCCAGGGTTGTCATCACAGCTGGAGGTGTTGAGCCCAGGCATGCACGCTTTGTCAAACGCTTTGATGTTGAGAATACCATGTACATCCAGATGCTATTAATACCAACAACAAAGAGATATAGGGCTCTTTCAGAAACCGGAAACTTTACACTAAGCCTCAGGCTTCTAACAAGCCACTATCCAGTACTTCTCGAAAGTTCCTCGCCCAGGATATTTTACCATTTCTCTTCTCTCCAATATGTGGCACTTCAATGCCGACTCTTCTCAAAGTCTTTAGCAAGGAAGACTCTTCGTTGTCCGATATGACTACTCCTCCTGTAAGCAGACACTGCATGTCCGTGGTCGAGTCCCCAAAATAAATCACCTCCCCGTCCTTCTCGTTGATGATGTGTTTCAAAGCTTTCTTCTTCTCGCATACATTGGTCATTCTCCCCTCGAAAAATTCTGGTCCTTTTATCGTTCCATCTGAAGCCGGTTCGTTGGCAATGACCTCAATTTTATGCGGTAAAAGAGCTCCTCGTAGAAAGGCCCGGGACCAATTGACCGATATAACACTCACATCCCAGCCCCTCTGTCTTGCAAGGGTTATGAGATCCGTAAATCCATCTCTGATCTTAATTCTGCCGGCCTTGACAGCGTCAGCACCAGCTTGCGACAACGTCTCAGCGTCTAGACCGGCAAAGATGCGTGAGTCAGCAATACGTCGTAGAGACGTCTCTTCCACGTCTTTCATTCCTGATAGGAATTCGATCTCATGATCCACAGATGTTCGAGTAACCTCTGGTGATGGATGGTTGTCTTTGTAGTGTCTGTAGTCGGCAACATAGGATTGAACCACTTGGTCCCAGGAAGTCTGGAGGTCATGGCCATATTTATTCCTCTGTATCTCGAGAGCTGAGCGAGCAAGCTCCCCGATAGAATCTTCTTGGGTGATTGTGCCATCAAAGTCGAAAACCAGATGCATCTTGAGACAGGTCGGATAGTAGATGTTGTCTCGAGCCTTGGTTATAAGCGGGGCTGTTCGGGTGATTAAGAGGAGAAGAGCGTATGTGAATGCATACATCTAAGCAAAGTATGTGATTCCGGCCCTTAGACAGCAGCTACTCCAGTCTTATAACGATCAGAAAGCGCCTCGCCTCCGACCAGTTTAGAGTGCATTGGTTACTGCGGGGAAGTTATTACGTAGGTAGGTAGTTATGATGTAGAACAATAGTGAGTGGATCGATAACCAAGTGCGAGAGTAGCCCAGCCAAGAATGCTATAGTCCAAGTTCAATCTCAGATCGGATAAAATAAAGATAGCTTCAGTTGACGAGCGAATCACGGCTCGCAAAGCATTTCGCTAGATGATGATTGATTACAACTGGTAATCTATAAGACTAGAAGGGTATCGTCGCTGTAAAAACCCTACCCTGAATCCTTCGAACACCACATTAAATGATATCCTGCGTTCGTTATCCTTGAAGTGAAATATTTGCCCCTTTTTATCCTCTTCTAAGAGGTCCGTCGATGCTGATACTAGGAAACAGGCAACACATCCTCCATCTCCGCATCGTCCTCATCGTCATCAACAGGTTCAGCAGCAGCCTCCTGGGCCTCTGCGCCACCCTTGTCGCGGTAGGCATCGCTCAGGCAATACTGGTTGGCAAACCGGCCACTCTTGTTGAGAACAGCAATCTTCTCGAGCACCTGTCGAAGGTATTGTTCGGGCTGCTGAAGCTTTTGTCGCAAAGCCTTCACCGACCAATACTGATACTGGCGGAAACAATCGAAAATGAGATCCAGAAGCTGGTTCTCTGGAATACGGGCTGCCTTGAACACCTCGCCCTTCTTTGGCTTGGCTGTGGCAGCGATATTTTTCTGTGACCTTTGTTAACATAACCGAGAATGAAAGATTGTACGGAAACAAAACGTACGATGAAGCTATCTCCGAATTCGGCGGCGCGGGTAGTTCCAGGGTTCACTACGGCTGAAGCTGCGTGTCGACTGATGATTTGGACCTTGGATTTGTTCGCCTCTGCATCCAGAATCTTCTGCTGAAGCACCCGTTCTTCCTCATCTTTGCCGTGGGGCTCAACACGGACATCGTAGGCAATCTTGCCAAAGACCTTTGTCTTTTCTGTAATGCTTTGTTAGCACCTATTCGTGGCACGGCAATGCGAAACCAAGCTTACTCGGGACAGCTTTTCGATAGTATGGTTGATATCGGCTCCTACGGTCGTAGCTCGGCCGTTCTGCTCCGTTGTTGTTTCCTTGTTTCTGCCTCAACAATGAGGCAGGGATGCCGGCATCGGCAGCCTCTTGTCGCGCCTTGCTTCGCGCCTTGAAGCCAGGCAAATCCTCCTCGCTGAAAATGAAGTGGTTGCTAACGTTGTGTTCTTGGACTACTAGGTCATATTCGCGAGGCAGCACCTGATGCTCCGGGCAGTTGGCGGAGAGAAGCATGCGAAGTTTGGTCTACGTATATCAGTATGGTGCCATCGCCTTATCAGGTATGCATACATCTTTGCTGCCATCGGGCTTTGCTTCAGTCCATGTTCGCAGAGTGCCAATTTGAATTTCATCGTTGTCGCCGAGTCGCTCCGTCAATTTAGACCAAGCTTCCCACATGTATCGAGGAACGCGTGCGAGGTAGAGTTGCTCGAAGGCGGGAGCCTTGTTGTCGTAGAATTCGAGGTCACCGGCATCTTCATACAAATCTTCTTCATCGACTTGCGCAGGAGAACCAGACGCCTCCGGATCGGGTTTGATGAAGGGCTCCTGCTTGATGAAGGAATTGGCCATGATGGTGGTCGAAGTTGTGCAGGACGAGGGATACTTGGAGATGCGACAAGTCGGAGGAACTAAGATAGGTGCTGTGTGCAAAACGTATAGGATATGTAGGTTTTTCCAAAGTTTAGGATCTCTCTGTACAGAAAGGAAGGACTTTGTATGCGCTTTGTTGATTCGCGCGCCCCAGGGAATGGCTATCAGCTTGTGAATGATGTCTTTGAGTGGAGACCCAGGTAGCCAGGCACGCTTATGACAAAGCCTGTCTCATGCTTAGTACAGTACCGAAATGGAGATATGTACACGGTATTGATATGGACGGGAGGTGTGGAGCTCTGGTTGGATCATGGGAACTGAATCGCCTTTGTTACTCTATAGTTAGAATTCTATTCATATATCAGCTTGCATGTATGTAGCTTGTCGGAGGAACGGGTGTTGAGGTGATCAAAGGTGATGCTCAAATAGCGAGGGTGCTGACTCTAGTACCTACCTAACGAGGCCCGGGCGGGGCCTCCTGGGTTTCGTCGCAGACTACTAACTTATTTAGGTAAGTTAGTGCCTACCTATGGATACTGGTACAATGGCTTCCTTTGAGATTCGAGCACGCTTTCAAGATCTCGACTCTCTTGGAGCATCAAACATTTACGATGCTGTCGCTTTCTTTATAGCGATGCTCGGCTGCCCTTCCAAGGGGCTCAACACTTAATCACCCTTCTTTCCTCCACTGTGCTACCCCCTGGCTTATATAACCCTTCCTTAAATCGTCTTACTCCTCAACTGTAACACTGCTACTTGGGCGTTGCTACATTTATAACAGAACCCTCCTACATATCTCCTCATATAACACCATAAGGATCGCATGAACTCACGAAACGTATGAACGAACTCTCGACACTTTACCCCGAGCTTCAAGATGCCACCCAAGTCTCTATTGGAACTTGCCACTGCGGCATGCATCAAAAACATCCGCGAACTCGACAGTGTTGGCGACTATCTTCCTTATAAAGCCGTCCGCCTCCTTCTCCTCAAGATCGACAACGCGAAGCAACTACGAACTATCGAACTGAACTCCCCTCAAATCCAGGGCGAGACAGGCGAGGTGTGGCTGAAGCTTATCAAGCATGAGTTTCCTATGGAAGTCAAGCAAAAGGCATACAAACCACCAAACCCAACTAAATGGTATCGCGTCTATGAGAAATACAAGTCTGATCACCAGAAGGCCCTTTTGGAAAGTGAGGCGAAGCTCAAGAATGCTCTCATGGGACTCAAGGAGGACAAGGAGAAGAACACCAGTAAGATTGTCGATGACAGAAGACTTCTGCCCCGAGGAGGCAGAGTCGGTCCGAAGAAGGCTTGGGGAATTGGCGCGCGAGATCCCAATGGCAGCACTCTCGCTTTCAATAGGGGAAGCCGTACCAAGACTCACAACGGTGCAAGCGTCATGCGCAAAGTACGGCGAGAGACAAAGGAGATTGCCAGTATCCACGGCGCATTGTCAAGGCCAACACAAGCATCAAATGCTATCACAAAACTCCGCAAGGCACCTGCAGCTATGGTGGGCGACTATCAGAGAGCCGCCAAGCCAACAATCCGACCTCCGCTCCCTCCGCCACCGAAACCAACAGTCTCTGATGCAGTTCGAACCCATGAGGCACGGGCGCAATACATCTCGGACTCTGATTCTGAAGATGGGGATGATCTGTTTGACGATGAACAGCCGGTACCCCGTCGAAAGGCCTTGTCTCACGTATCGTTGTCTCCTCTGAAGAAGCCTGCTGCTGGCCACGGCGAATCTACAAGCAAGGTCAAACGTACTGGTCTTCTCTCCAACAGCTATAAAGGTCCTAAGCCTCAAACTACAACATCTTCACGGCCCAGAGTGGCCCCTTCAGCTGGAAAGTCGGTATCTCCTACCCCTCAACAGAAACAAATATCTCTGTCTCCCGAGCCGACCGAACAGTCTTCACCTACACGTCTCACAAATACACGACCAAATCCGGGCATCGGGCCACGCAAGCGCAAGGCTACGGATGTCTTCATGAAGCCTAAGAAGAGAGCTTGAGATCCAAACAAACAATTCTCTGGTTTTTTTTTCTATATATTTGACACGGTTTGTGGAGATGTTTATTTCAGGGGCAATATTCAACCCCATTACAATATAGGAGTGCAGTGTATAACGGCCCATAGCAAGGGAAACAAACGGCGATAAGCGAATGACAACAATGATAACGGATAAATAGTCCATAAATAGTGGCATTAGACTGGGAATACAATGGAATATCGAGGTTGGCGCATGTGTGCCAATTTGTGATGTGTATGATAGCACTAAGACGACGGAAGATGAGCATAGCCAGGCTTGCTCAAACGGGATGCTTAATCAATGAGAATAACTTTATCGTATCTTTTGGTATTATCACCTTGTCTTCTGAAAGTATTTGATACTAGCAGCAGTGTTCGCGCATGATTGCTCCAGCTGACTCGACATCATGATCCCGTGGGTTCAACAGCTGTTGTACTGTGCTCAGTCATTCCACCTAGTACAGTGATCCCTCGTCATCCTCGGTTGTCGAGCGACAAACTCGTTAAGTCGGGATGAGGTCCACTATGTTCGCTCAAATATTCGTTCGATGTGTTTATGCCATCCATCGTCCTCCTCTAAGGGCGAGAACGAGATGGAGAGTGTCACCAGCGGAGAGATTGTATTCGGCAGCAGTCTTGTCATCGGTCCTATACACGGTACGTTAGTATACTGAAAGACATGATGTTCGTTCAGAAGTTTGTATGAGAACGTACATTTGCTTGCCGCCATGGATAAGTCGCTGTTGGACGGGCGGGATACCCTCCTTCTCCTCGACCTTTTCCTTGATCTGGGAGACCTACAAGTGATCAGCTGAGGTCTTTCCGCTTCTATTGTCCGCCGTCTTTCGAGATTTACCTTGTAGTCCGACTCAATATCCAGCTCGATCTCCTTGCCGGTCAATGTGCGGACTCTAGTTATCGCAGTGTTAGTTTGCTCCCATGTTTCCCAGCCAGCATGACGTCGAAATTCCGACATGTGACTTACTTGATCAACATTTTGGCGGCTGTGGTGAGGAACCAGGGTGTTGTGTGTTCCAGGGAATTTACAAGAGTTTGCAAAGAGCAAAGAAGAAAGTGTCGCGTAGGTTTCGAGTATGCGAGGCTGATGTAAACATCAAAGCAATGGCGGCTGTTGGGCTGACTGAGCGCGATTGATTCATGGTGGGGTTGTGGGCTAACACTGACGGAGGGGGAGGGGTGACCCTTGCAGTGACTGGAGCTGTTGCCTACCTCGGCGATACCTACTAAGTACTAGGTACCTACTATACCTCAATACTTCCTATTGTGAGTTCTACAGCTCCCGTCATGATGGTCAGGCGCTTCAGCGAATACGATCTTGCTAAGGTTGAAGATGCAAAGTTTACCTAGATACCTACTTACTCGTGTCTATGTGTTAAGAGCGGAGTTTCGAGACTCAACTAGTGTCTCGCGTAGTTTGCATCTGCAGTGGTTCACTTGTCGTTCGTGAATTAAGACCAAATTCTATGAAATCGTTTGCAGCAGAGCAGAATTGGTAGTTCGACTTTTTCTACCTCATTATTCCTAATAGTACAACCCTTTCGGTAGACATACAGTGGAGAGTTCATTAAATCCATAAGCACCTCTCCTCGTTCACAGCTCGTCCTTCCGTATCATCCGATCAGTTCTTGTCATTACTGTCGAATACATTGAGACCAAGTCCCTCAGAGTCGAGCATGAGTCTGTTCTTAGAGCCAGCCTCTTGGAGCTGAGCAGCAATGTATCGAGCGTTCTCGATCTTCTTGAGCTCAACATAGGCCTTGTTCTTCTTGATGGCCTCACCAATCAGTTCAGCAGAGCGAGCCTCACCCTGCGCCTTGACAACCATGGCCTGCTTCTCCTGCCGAGCCTTGTCGACGATGAAAGCAGCTCGTTGGGCCTCTTGCTGGGCAACCTGCTTAGCCTCGACAGCAGCTGTGAATTCGGGAGAGAAGGCAAGGTGCTGCGGGATGTCAGTCAGATCAGATGCTCTTGTTCAAGTATGGGAGCATTTGCTTACAGTTAGGGATACATCGTCTAGGAGGATGTTGAATCGAGCAGCTCGTCGAGCAAGGTTCTCTCGAACCAGTCTGGCAACATTCTCTCGCTGTGTGATGAGCTGGCTAGCGTTGAATTGAGCAACAACACTCTTGAGAACCTCATTGACAATAGACGGCAACACACGCTCGTCGTAGTCGGTACCTAGTGTACGGTAGATCTGAGGCAGAGCATCAATCTGTGGGCGAGAGAGCACACGGCAGGTGATGTTGACCATCTGCAGATCCTTGGTTCCGGTCAAAGACGCCACATTGCGTGGCTTTGCTCGGACATCGTACACAATTGGTGTCTCAAACCAAGGGATGTTGATGTGCGTTCCTGTTTGCTCAAGTAAGTGTCTGAGCCGAATCCTCCGAAGTTCGTTTTCTCGCACCTTCGTTGTAGATCTCCTTGCTCACACCAGTCAGCCTCTGGTACTTGATGGCTCGGTGACCACCATCGACGTTGAATAGGGAGTTTGACAGGAACAGAGCACCACCAGCGAGTAGCAAACCGCCGAAGAGTGCACCGCCGGCTGCTCGAGGCATCTGAGGGCCACCTCCTCCAACACCACCACGGGCCTGCTGCATCTGTCGAAGACGGCGCATGGCTTCCTCCTGCCAGTTGTTGTTCGACATTGCGAATGTTTGTTTTCGGAGCGAGCGTGGACGAATCGAACCGATGTGATATGTCGACTGACTTTGGTGGTGATGGTTTTAGGCGTCCGTGTAGTCGTCAATGATGGTCATGAAGCTAGGTACTCGATTGAAGCTGTCGACTAATGTGGGTCCCCTTTTTTGCCCGCCCAGCCTTTCCCTTTCCAGAACAACATCCATCTGCTTCTGGCCTTAGCCTTATTAATGAGTGGTCTGAACTAGAGTGTATCAGAAAAGCAATAGACA